GATGCGGGATGTAGGAAAGCGCCCCCGGCAGGCGTCCGGAGACCCAGACACCGATTCCTCTGCCAGGATCCCGGGGCAACGCAGCCGGCGTGTCCAGCGTGGGTTTTCCTGCAGAAACGTGATGGGGGCTGCACCCTGCCACCACGGGTTCTCTCTGCTCTTCAGATTGTTTGCAAGGAGAGACGGGAGTGATTCCTCCTATCACACCCCTCTCTCCCTGCAGCCATCACACACCAGCCTTCCTCTTCTGCATCCACCCAGCCAGCCACCGGTCCGTTCATCCTCCCGTCCCTGCCTTCTATCTACCTTGGCCTTATGAGGGGCACCCAGGGGTGCCATGTGGGTAAGCTCTACTGAGACCTGGCACAACTATTAGGGCCCCCCCAAAGTGAGAGGTAAATGTGGGGAAGAGGGAGACATGGAAGGGTTCCAGTCACCTGGGTCCGTTGGGATATAGGAGCCTACTTAGAGGCAAGAGTCCTGGAAGGTGAGTCTGGAGACTGAGGTTGGAGGCTCTGTTCCCCTCTGACCTGCTTGTGAATGGCCCAGGAAAGTCCCCTGAGGGTCCTGGCTAACCCTATCTGTGTGTCTCGGGATGTTGAGGTGAGCTCTTGCAGGCTACTAGGACCAAAGCTGAAGAATGTAAAATAAGAGAAGCTATGCCAGCCCTCACCCCATCCTCCACAGTAGTAGGGAGGTGGGAGAGGGCCATCACAGTGCAAGGCAGGGTCGACACACTCTGTTGAAATGTAGTGACCGGCGATCAGCAGATGGCATAATGGTTGTGTTGCTGGACTCCCACGGAGTCGACTATGGTTCGCATCCTGGACCCAGTGGTTTAAAATTCGCACTGGACATGGCCATCCCCCCTTCTCACTTTCTGTCTCTGTCTCTCCAGTGAGCACCCATGCCTAGAGCAAAAGTCTCTCTCTAGAAAAAGAAATGTAATGATCAGAGAAAAATTGAATTGTTTCCTTTCTGTTTCTTTTTTTCTCAAGTTCAGAGTACATGGAAGTGGTCTGTCTCAGCTTCCTCTGTGCTGTGGGTTCTCATAAAAAAATTATTCAACCAATCCTTCTTAGCACCTACTGTTGTTTGATTCTAGGACACAGGAGTGGATAAGATAAAAATGGTTCCTACTTTGATTAGGTGACAATCTAGACTAGCACCACCCTAGAGAAGTATACTGCCAGCCTCATCTGTAATTTCAAATGTTCTAGTAGCCACATTAAAAAGTAGAAGCAGGGCCAGCAGGTGGCATGGAAGGTGAAGTGGCCGAATCCCACATGACCAACTGCATGGTTGGAGTCTTGGACCTGGCAGCTCGAAAATCACGCTGGGCACATGTTTGTGTGTGTGTGTGTGTGTGTGTGTATGTGTGTTCAAAATCTCAAGAGGAGGATGGAGAAGGGAGAGTGGTGCGCCTATCCCCCTCATCTCTGTGTGTGTCTTCCTCTGACAAGTGCATGCACCCTACAACAAACTAAACTAAACTAAAAAGTAGAAACAGGTTGTTATTAATATTTTGCTTTAATGTTTTGCTATAGAGCATGTGTGTTTGCCAGAGAGACAATGAGAAGGAATGAGAGCAATCACCCCTCAGGGGGATGGCCACACCACAATCCCTTCTCCTCTTGGGATTTTGGGCAAGCACACACAATCGCCCAGCGTAAGTTTCAAGATGCTGGGTCTGGGCTGGAACTGCGGGGAGTCCAACATCTTTAACCACGATGCCACCTGCTGGCTTCTGTTAATATTTTTATTTAACCCTTGAGGCCAGCAGATGGCATGGTGATTGGGGCACCAACATTCTCTCAACATTTTAAAAATTTAACCTAATATATCCAGAATATTATAATGTCAATATATTTTTAAAAAATTTGAGAGATTTTTGCTATAGGATACATGTGCTCACTGGAGAGACAGAGTAACAGAAAGCAAGAAATCACTTCCCAGAGGGGACGCCCATGCTGCAATCCCTTCTCCTCCATTCTCCTCTCAGGACTTTGGGCATGCACACACATGTGCCCGGCATGAATTTCAAGCCCCTGGGTCTGGGACTCTAACACAGTCGACAATATGGGAGTCCCGTGATGTAACCATTATGCCATCTGCTTGTCCTAATATTTTAAAAATTTTAATGAGATATTTCATATCCTTTTTATAATATTAAATCTTCAAAATCTGTTGTCTATTTTGCACTTAGAACACATCTTAATTCAGACAAGCTACATTTCAAATGCTTAATGGCCATTTGAAACCAGTAGCTACATATTGGACATCGCAGATTTAAATGTTAGGAAAGGCAAAAAAAAGTAAGGAACTAGATAACACATTTTCAAATATTTTCCTAATGAACGAAGAACCTCTGGGAATAGGTGATATCCGAGCTGAGACTTGACCTATAAGTAGGACCAGATATTTAAAGAATGAAGAGAGCATCCCCAGCAGAAGGAACAGCATGGGCAAAGGCCCTGTGGTAGGAAAGCATGTCTGTTGTGAAGAACCAGTGGGACTAGAATGGAGGGAGCTAAGGAAGGTGGTAAGAGGTGAGGCTGGGCCTGGCAGGTGGCGTGGTGGTTAAAGACACTGAACTCCCACATGGCTGACCGCAGTTCAAGTCCCAGACCTGGTGGCTTGCTTTCTCACATTCCCTCTTTCTCTTTCTCTGTTTTGCTCTAATCAAACTGAAAAGTAATAATAAAGTTAAATAAAATAATTCTTAAAAAAAAAAAAAGAGGTGAGGCTAAAGAGGTGAGTGGGGAGCTGAGCATACAGACCACACACAACCATGGGTAAAGTTGGTTTTAATTCTCCAAAGCCAATGGGAAAACTTAACCCCAAAGGATTTGTCATCTGCTTTCTTATTTTGAGTTGATCACTTTGACCCCCTCACTGCCCTCCCCACCCCCTGGGGAGTCAGTAATAAGGCTACTACAATAAGCCCAGCAAAAGATGGCCATGCCCTGGCAGAGTGGGGTCCGAGAGGCTGGGAAGAAGGGAATGAACTCGGCGTAGAGGAGAGCTGGGCAGCACAGGCGACAGGACTTGCAGATAGTTGGATGCGGAGGAAAGGAAGAAATTCTAGGATGACCCCAGGTTCTCTGCCATGAAAATGACTCTGTGCTACAGAAATGAAAGCAGGGTGGACCATAGAGGTTAAGGCGGCTGGATCCCACATGGCCGACTGTGCTGTTCCTGGTTCCAGACCTGTGGCTTGAAAGACATGCCAGGCCCATGTGCATGTGTGCCCAAAATCCTGAGAGGAGAAGTGGAGGAGAAGGGATTGTGGATTACTCCCCCAGGGGGAGTAATTCCTCTTTCTGGCAAGTGTATATGCTTTATAGCAAAAAAATTAATAATAATAAAAAATAAATTCATAAATATAAAAAAAGAAAGATATTAAAAAAGCAGGGGTATTCAATTCAGTTCAACAAATGTTTACTAGGCGCCAGGCTACACATGGAAAGTTACACCGCAGACGCACTGACATCTGACGTGGGTTTCCCAGGATACCCTACTCATGGATGGCAGGAAGAAATGCTGATGAAAGTGCCTGAAAACCAGTTTCTCTCATGGCCCTAATCTTTTAAAAAATAATTTTATTTTATTCATTATTATTATTATTATTATTATTATAATTATATAATTTAATCAGAGAGAGAGAGAGAGAGAGAAAGAGAGACCAAAACCGCCAGGTACGGGACTCAAACTATGGTCAGTCATGTGGGAGTCCAGTGCTTTAACCATTACATCACCTGCCGGCCCCCATGGTCCTAATCTTAGCAGCTCTGCAAACCTAAGTACATAATCATATGTCTCTGGGTCTGTTTCTCATCCATAAAGGGGCAGTCATAATAGCCTTTGTATCCTACTTAATTGTTAAAGGGCATAATCAAATCACATGTAAAAAAGAATTATGTTAAAAGGTCTGAAAAAAAAATGTAGTTACTAGACTTAATACATTTACTATCTATGTACTGTTCAACCTTTGAAAGCGTTAGTTATTGCAAAGTTCAATTCATCTTAAATAAATCATAAAGTGACTATTTTAAAAAACTGATAATATGAAGATGTTGAAATGTAGGTCTTGCCCTGTCATTCCCTGGCTTAAACTTTTCAAAGGTTCCCATGGTAGGCAAAATAAAAGATGTCCATACTCTAATTCCTGGAAACGGAAGGTGCCATTACATAGTAAGGGGGAATTAAGGTTGCAGGTAGACTGAAGTCGCTCATCAGCTGACCTTGAGATGGGAAGCTTCTCCGGGTTATTCAGGGGGCCCAATGTAACCATGAGGGTCTTTATAAGTGAAAGGGGGATGCAGGGGACTAAGAATCAGAGGGCAGCCCAGCTTCTGTGGCACAGTGGTAACAGTGCTCTGCAGTGCTAAAAGCCACATTACAACTATGGTGTGGATCCCAAGTTGGCTTAGAAAACATGCCCGGTGTGCACACAGGTGCCCAAGATCCTGAGATGCTGAAAGACTAGAGGAAGGGGATTCATGGTGTGGCAAGACCCTATTTGTGTGTTTTCTCACTCTCACTGTCTCTCTAATGCACACACACACATTCTAGCATAAAACAAAAACAAAAAAGAATTGGAGGGGGTGCAAAGACAGAAGTAGAGGTTGGAGTGGCTGACACTGATTTTGAAGATGGAAGGGGGCCACAAGACAAGGAATGCAAGTGGAGAGAACAAAGAAATAGGTCCTTTCCTAGAGCTTCCAGAAGGAACTCAGCC